CCTGCTGCATCCAGAGCTGCTACCGACTGATCATTTTATAGGATCACCTAAGCTCCAGCTGTGCTTGGCACTCTCTAATTGCCCTCTGAGAGTTAGTTATACACCTGAAAAATGGACTTCTAAAACAGAGAAGTTACATCTCTGCTGTAATGCTTTCGTGCAAGACGAGACAGAGCTTGTTTTCCTCCTCTTATTTATATTTTGTTGCCAAGGTCGTTTCTCTGGTGGCCAAATTCAAAGCTGTTTGGGGCAGCCCAGTAGCTGGTTCTCAATAGTAGTTTGAAATTGTTCTCCTTGACGCCTCTCCAGGAAAAGATGATTCACTGAGAGAGGTCGTGGCTGTGTCTGAGGGAAGGGGAAGGGAAGGAGCCTTCGCTTGGAAAGACTCTTCCTTGAACCATTTCTTCTGGTTTGCTCAGCAGCTTGGCATGCTTTGTGCCTGAGCTACGCTTTTGTCATTCTTCCATGAGAAAGGGCAAAAAATAAATGTCCTGGCTTGGAAAACAGGTGGCAGGGCAAGCAAGATGCTGTCCATGCTCCTCGCTTCGTGGGAAGGGGAAACAAATAGCTTGACAGATGCAAGGGGGAAACCACGCTGAATTTAGATCGTCACCATAAATGGCGCCTCATTCAAAAGGACAGAAAACAGACCGACTTATATGAACTTAGGACAGAGCCATTAAAATCTAAGACCTGCCACCAGGTCACAGACAAGGTCCTGGAAACGTCAGCTTCGCAGGCATTCAGCCAAAGAAGGCCGTGTGAGAGAAGCAGAGTACATTAGAAACAAGGCAGCGAAAGGAAGACAAGAGTATGAGTGGTGTGGTCCTGACAGACGGAGTTCGTGTTGCTCACGCTGGCCTCTCTCCCCGCATTCAGCTCCTGAGTTTTCCTGGTGCTGTGCCTCGGTAGAGTAGGTGGGGCAGGAGCTTGTCTTGCGGGTGCTCAGCCAGCGCTTTCTGCTGGAAGGGAGCATCTGCTTCTCCACTGAAGAATGAAACTACCACAAAGCCTAAAATCAAGAAGCAAAAAGCTAAAACCAAAGCCAATGCTCTGGAGTACATTGTCCAAGGTGGCGAATATTGGGCTTCCATCCCTGCCAAATTCTCCCCAGTTGACTATATGTACCTTAGTCATTTTTCCGAGTCTGAAGTCCACTCCACATTAGTAAAATAGGGTAATGGTGTTTTCCTTTTCACAAAACTTTTTCTTGTCTTGATTGTGTTGGCCAGAAGCTTTCTGGAAGAGTGCCTTTCTGTGTGAGTGTCCAGGGCGCAGCAGACCTCCAGCCTTGGCTGGACCTCAAGTTTAGTGTGTAATATGCATGTTATGGAATTACTTGTATGCAGTAAAATGTAGGTTCTGGATACAATCACGATACTTCCACTCTGTGAATAGCTATACTAATCCTGGCGTGTTGCTGTTTTTATTATGTATAATAGTTTATTTGCTTGTTCTTGACCTTGTACTGTAATACTTCTTATATAGTTTGTAGCAATTTATTTACATAGAGTATGTGTGCAACTTCTCAATTAACTTAGAGATCAGTATGGATTAAAACAAAAGAATTGGACCTAGGGTTGGTTTGTTTGTTATTTAGTATACTTAATGTGGCTGGAGTCAGCTTGAGAACCAGGCACTTACAGTGTCTTTGTGGAAAGCCATCCTGGTTTGTTTTTGCATGCTTTGTTACCACAGAAAACTGTTTGACTCCGAAGACTCACATGTAGTTGTGTCATTTTCTCTCTCTTCTCTGCAGCTCCTTCATTCCCAAGTTCATTAACCACCTCTTCAAGTGCAAACCTATTAGCATGGTGGGTGCAGAACAGGTAAGAAAAAGCAATTGCATTGGCTGTAATATTTCATCACTTCGGGGCTCAAGGAGTCGAGGCAGTTTTTGTTAAAAAGGGGCAGAGAGCTGAGTTACATGTCCTGAACCGTGGTGCAGCTGGGGCAACAGGAATACACTCTGGTACAGGGCAGGGTGGAAGCAGGTTTATAGTGATCCTGCCACAGTTGAACCTGTCCTGGGAGAGGGGTCCTAGGCATCTTCCCAAGCAGGGGGGCTCTCGCTTTGCCAGTCAAAGTAACAACAGTACAGGAACAACAAACTACTTACGCACCTCTCTAAGGTGTCTTCAGTGTGCTCACACAAAGGAGAACAAGGTTGCTCATAGCAGAAACTATTGCAAGAAGTTCCTGTCTTCTCAGAAAGGCTTGTTTTTCTGTCCCATCCTTTCACAGAATAGGTCATCACTCAATCTCCCTCTGCTGCTACTGTGCCTCCTCCTGGGGTTAAACTCAAGCCTATTGCTTCTCTGCTCAGAAGAGCTGGGGCATGGTCAACCCATAGTTGACAACAGGAAAACTTTACCAAAAAAACAACCAGCCCAAACCAAAAACCCAGGTGTCCAGGCAGTTTCTCTGCTCAGGTAGTTTAAACACCAAGGTTGTTGAACATAAAACACACGCAGTGCTTGGTCTCACGTGACAGTGTGTATGCCAAGAGCAGGTTGGTTCCTACGCGTTCCCCACGCGGGCCCAGTGACGGCGGTGCTCAGCGCCGCGTGCCTGCGGTGGCGGCATGCCAGCGCTCAAGCAAAGCGACACCGGATCCTCCCAGGGACTGTGCGCACTGTTCCCAGGTGCTGGCTCCTTCCTCTCTGAGGCAGTGAAGCCGTGGGAGCCCAGGGGCTCCTCCGCAGCCTGATGGCAGTTTTGCTAGAGCCTGGCTGAGTTCCAGTGAGCGCAAATAGATTTTTGCTTCCTCCAGTTTGCCTGCTAGCTATGGATGGCCGCTGTCTTCCTCTCCTCAGAGCCATGCCGGGAGGACGGGGTTGTGGAGGCGTAGTGCAGTGTTTTCTCTGTTCTGTCCTAAAAATTGCTAAATGGAGGCCCTGGGTTTGGTGGGAGTTTTGAATCTCACTAGGTGAGAGATGCTGCAGTGCCTGAAGACAGGACAGTTTCTTTCCTGCATAAATGCCTTCCACGCCTCGCTTCCTCAGGCGTTGCAAACGCACGTCGAAACACTGCTGCGTGGCAGGGAAGAGCTGTCTCCACCTCTGCGGCTCAGTAACTGAGACCCAGGGAAGTGGCGAGCCATCGTCTGGGGCTCAGGACTCCCCAGCTTTCTCCCAGGAACCTGCCTCCCTGTTGCTCTTTGAGACCTGTAGCTACTGCAGGATGGTGAGACATGATCTCAGGGAGGAAAGGACGTTGAATTATTGCCACTTGAATTAACGTACACACTTCTGTTGAAATGCTGCCCCTTGACAGGAGCCCCTGTCCCCAAGTTGCTCGTGGGTGGGCAGCGCAGGGTGTTTATTACCTTGAGACCGTGGGTGCAGCTGCAGGGCTGTGACCCCCCCACCTCCCACCCCTGCCTGTGGGCTGGGACCCCACTACTCTGCAAGGATGAGGTTTGGATGAGGCAGGCTATCAGCTGTCCCCTGCACATACAGCCGCTCCCCTGTGGACCGATGAAAAAAAAAAAAAGGCAGAATTGTCCCTAATGGGACTGCTGTGAACTTCAAATCGGTGCCTTAAAAGCTGCTTGGGTTTTAGGCATCAAAGATGGGTTCTGAGCAGTGTGTGTCTGCAAAATGAAACAGGAGCTTTACATCAAAACCTTCCTCTTTCTTAATGGAAAGCAAATGAGTGAAGCACGGTTCCTGCTCATCTTATGCGATGAGCAATAACCTGAGAGTGATTAAACGAAGTCTTTTTTTAAATAAGCATCTAAAGTGATTAACTGGTTGCCAGCAGTGGGCTTGTGTCTCATGTTAAAAGGTTTTAATATTACTGTATTGGAATAACAGGCCCAATTTGGTTCTTTAAAGCAGACTGGGAAGGTTTTTATTAGCCTGATGCACAGTGAATATATCTCATTATAACCACGTTCCTGGGGTTAGATGTACAGAGGTCTTCAGAAGCTGGCCGCCTTTGTCTCTGCAGCATCTAGGTCCTCAGTTGCCTTAGCATCTTTTGAACACCCCCCTGGTCACCCACCGGCGTCTTTCCCCACCGGTTTCTCTCCCCTGGTGCAAATGTTGCTGTGGAATATGCTCTCCCGGCCTTCCCGGTCCTAAACACAGCTTTTCTTGCTGTTTGCTAATAATCCTGTTTGAAATCTGGACACTAGGGCGGTGTTTACGGAGGTGTTCAGCATGGGGAACAAGACCTGTGGGGTTGCACTTTCTGTGGGTTTGTGTCTCTGACTTAACAACAGTTCTCCATCTCCACAAGCTTGGGCAGTGAGTTAGCAGTGCCAGGGACCTGGAATGGATAACGGCGGGGAAATAGGGTGAGGCGACAGAGCCTGCGAGCGCTGCGTCTGTGGGAAAGGCTGCAGAGTGCACAAAACTCCCGTTAGACATGAGAGAGTTTACATGGGAAAGATGTGAATTCCCCAACCGTGGAAAAATCTTCCGTCTATGGGATCCCTTGTAGACACGCAGGAATCCAGCTATGACAGCCTGAGCCGACATCAGGCTCCAGCAGCTCCGGGGTGCACAGAGCTGCTCGTTTGTGCTGTGGTTTCCTGACTTCTCGGGACAAGATTGATGGCATCGGTTCATCTCATGCAAACCATGAAACAGGCAGCACACAGCAATGATACGCTGCTGCAGATAACAGGGTCCAGATTTGAACTGGCGTGACCCACCGCCCCTCCTCCTCGTCTCAGTCCTTTGTATTTGAACTGAATTCCCACATGTGCTGAAAGCTGTACCATAAATGTTCATATTGTTTGCGGTGACTGCTGGGGGGGGGGTCTTGCAGTGCCCGTAGTTTTGTGTGTTGCTCCAGAACGAGCTTCCACCTGCTCCTGAGAGCCCTTTTGCAGGAAATGCACCGGGTGTGCCAACAGCCCAGCGGGTTTTCACGCTCGCTGCTGTATAAATAAATTGCGCTCCTCTTCACCTAGTTTGATTTCAGGTTTCTGTCCTTCACTGGTCTCGTCTCACCTCTTTAAACATACCTCGTGCAATCAGAAGAGCGTGGTATTTGGGGTAATTTTGCTCTAAGAAACCCTAACCCACAGCATTTTGTCATCAGATGGTGCTTGTCTGCCTTTGCTGGATTTCATGGCTGCTGCTTGCTGCTTATTTAGCTGCTGGTCTAGTAAAAACCAGCATCCAGGCTGCGAGTTTCAGGGTGCCGCTGAGCACAGGATATTGAGCAGTTCTCGATGTAGCTGTATTGTGTTGCAGTTTTCTTTTCAAAGAAAAAAATGAATCGAGTGGTTGAGTAAATGCAGAAAACCTGACACAATGGGTGGTTGGGTGCGGGAGGAAGCATGGTGTTAATTCATTTGACCTCGGTATCTAAATAATGATACAGCTACAGGTAATCGAGACTGTTTCACTTTATACTGTCGAGGGGAAGAGGACTGGAAATCCATGCCTTATGTGCCAGATGTTGACTGCTGTAAGTCATTTCAAGTCAGCAGAGCAGCGCTCTGTTAAAACCAACAAACGGTGCTGATATGTAGCCACGGGTGATCGTGTCTCCTTGCACCGTCATTACATGGGTCAATCCCTCCTGTTCCTGCAGTCTAATTACCAGGACTTTTTCCAACGTGGGAAGCGTTAAAACTTTTAAGCATGTTGGACTATAGCAGCTAATGGAGCTTGGTAAAAGGGACCTGAATAACAGGGTGCACTTAACTGTTGCAGCTGCTGCTGGACACTCACTCTCTGAAGATGGTTCTCCTGGATCTGCCCTCCATTGGGTCCCAAGTGGTGAGGAAGGCTCCTGCCAGCTACACAAAGATAGTGGTGAAAGGCATGACTCGGGCTGAAATGATCCTGAAGGTAACTCAAGACTTTTGATAACCTGCCAGCCAGACTGCTGGACTGGGAATCGGAGCGAGCGAATTCCAGGGGGCCCTTCCTTTGAACGCGGCAATCTGCAATTGCACATGAACGTATGCGAGCTTGTCCGGGTGTGCTGCCAGCTGTTCTACAGAACTGGCTTATTTGCCTTGGTTTTGCCCCCATGCTCTTTTAACATCGCATTTGAGTTTTCATCCTCATTTTTCAAGGTAACCGAGGGCTCAAGTTCTGCTTACTAGGAGAGTTGGGGCACCAGATTCCCTCAGGAGCTTGTGAAAATCAGAGCTAGCATCCGTAAGTGTCTGCCGCAGGGCAAACCCTCCAGTTCAGGTTACTCCAGGCCTTTGTGCAGACTCCATCACGCAGGGGAGCCAAGCCATGCTTGAGTCACCTGTTTACTGTCTAGTGTAACAGCCAGTGCAAACATGTCTGGCTTACTGTATTCACCAGAGTCCTTTTTCATTTTCCAGACCTGGTGCCTGGAAAATGACCCAAAAGCAGTGTGTTGTCTTCATAAAAAGTAACAAGCAAAGCAATCTCCCCTTCCCCCCTGTTGCTGGAGTAAGAAGTTAGGTCTGATCCCAGGAAAAGCCATGGGAGCTGTGCAGTTGTACCCTCCTGGGCAATGGGATTGTCCCGGGCTCACCAGCAATGCTGTGAAGATGTTCCTGTGAGTGAACTAGTGGGACCTGGGGTCAGGCAGGACAGGCAGCTGCCAGCCAGAGCCTCCTGTAAACCGCAGCCAAGGCAAGGAAGGGGTGCGGAGTCCAGGCTCCCTCCGTGCTTGCCTGCTGCTCAGCGTGGCTTTGCTCCCGCGCCCGGAGGAATGTCACGGCTGAGTTTGCGTTCTGAATTCAGAAATTAGTTCTGCAACTCCATGCTTTTGGAGTAAGGTGACTGAGACGTTAGTAGATATGTTAAAGCAAGTCTAAATTTTCTTAGAAATTACCTGGAGGAAAATGCCCTGGTACTGCTAACAGAGGAGCAGGGAAGATTGGTGCCTGTTGCATACAGAAACAGGTCTTTCCTTGGAGCTTATATGTGAATCAGGAAAGTAATGGAGTTAATTTGTCTACCCTTAACATCACATTGGCTTCATCGGGACCGAGATTAAAGCAGTACAGGAGGTGCCTCGGGCAGGGAGCGCAGGCTGCAGAGCGGTGCCGGTCCATAGGATGCAGACTAGCAGCGTGACTGCTTTTTCAGACATCCCGTGCTCGCCCTGCTGCTGCATAAAGCACTTCTGCTGGCCCCAAGTGAGGGCTCAGTGTCAGTGTAACTAGTAATTAAACAGCGATACGCTTATGGCGTTCAGTGCCCCGCAGAGCTGTTTTACAAAATAATGCCCGTGTAATCAGTGGGTGATGGGGCTGAATGGTTGGCTGGGGCAGGTTTGTTAATCGTAGTGACTGAACAGATCACCCGGAGCCTAGGTAACCCACACGCAGTGCTTGGGGCTGGTGTCAGCACCCATCTCTTCGGTTTGGGAGAGAAAAAAAGGCTCTTGGAAGTGCCTGCTCCCACTGGACCACCAGTATTTCTGTAGGAAGGTTTCCTTGCAGGAGCCCAGAGCTGACTGGTCATCTCTGGCCATTCTGTTTACCTTGTGGATTGTCTCTTTTTATCGGTGCTCAGACTCTCTCTGCCGTTTCCAGATTGTACATTAAAGAGTCTTTTCCCTAAGAACTATTTCACCCCATCAGAAGCACAGGCCAATACCCTCCTCCTCGGTGTTTTCAGGGCTCTCCTCCCTGGTACCGAGGTGGTTCAGAAGCGATGCCTCTGTAGCATACAACAATACCACCGTACAGTAGCGTGCCCAGGCTTACACCAGTGCAGCTAATTCAGTAGGAGCATCATTGAGCCCATAGATGGCACAAACAAATTCATTCAGCTAAGCCCTACAAAGCGCAGATGCAAGCGGGGAGGAGGGCGTCAGGGTGCGTACATCCCGCAGAGCTTTTTCCTTTCTCCTCTGGCTATGCTCTCTGAAGTTCCAGCTTTTCATCTTGGCAGAAGATTTTTACAAGGGCTGTAAATTAAGGATTTATAAGTGTATACATGGCTATGATGTTTCATTGGTCTGAAGTGCAGGAAAAGAAAGAAATGTCTCGGTGACAGAATACAGTGTGGGGTGAGCTGGGTCAACGGAAACATGGAAATGTTTTCAGAGACAGGGAAGAGTCTGGTCCTGTGCTCTTTCGGTCCTGTGCTGTTTCTGCCCTGTGTGTGCACGTGCGTGCACACACACTCTCTCTCTTTCCCAGAAGGATGGGTTTACTGCCCAGCATTATCAAAAATGTGTTCTCTGTGGGGCGTACCGCTTATGTAAGGAAAATACAACAATGAGTAATCATCTTTCCAGCTTCAAGGCTATTTTAATTTTCTTCCTGACTTGACCGTTGCTGGGACTAAGTGGGTGTGAGCTCCGGGGCAGAAGTCAGCGGGGGCTTCGCATGCTGCATCCCAGTCTCTCCAGAGAAGCATACAAGAGGAGCTGCACCCAAAAGACAGAGCGGCTCCATGTGGCACCGCTCACCCATCAGGTTTCGTGTCAGAAGCAGGAGGGCTGCAAAGCAGATTGCTCTGAGCCACGCTGTCCTGGGGACGGAGGGAGTAACTGCAGAGTGTTGTCAGATTCCCCTGCGACATGCTGTCTCTGCTCTGCTCCAGGCAGGAGGGAGCGAGAGGGATGCGCAGCCGAAGTGAGGGTCTGGACTGCATCCCGGCTGCCTGATCCGCTGGGGTCTTTCTAAGCGTTCCCACCACCACCAGCGCTGCCTTTCTCCCCCAAGCAACTCCCCAGCTAGTCTTCCCCATGCAACAAGATAAAATCTTGAGCTTTGCCAATACGCCAGTGCCTGCCAGCCCACAGGCATATAGACAAAGTCCTGCTGCTCTTTGAAACATGATAGGCAGCCCCTTGTGTCTGAGCATCACTGCTGGGCGGAAAGAGACCCCGTCCTCCTCCCTGCTCCTTACTTTACTTCTCTTCGCTCACCTTTACCTCTCAGTTACTAGCAGCACGTACAGCCTCTTTCTTGTTCCTTAAGCATTTTATTTTAGGAGAAGCCAGTCCTGCTGTCACTCGTGTGCCTGAGTTGACAGAGCGCTGGCTTTTACTCATAGAATTTGTCTGATCTCTTTTTTTTCTTGTCTTGGCAGGTGGTTATGGCTCCACACGAGCCCCCGGTTGTGTTTGTCGACAATTACATCAAGCTCCTTGCTGACTGCAGCACCGACACTTTCCAGAAGATACTAGACATGAAGGTTAGAACCAGTCCCACAGAGTTTCTGCTCGTCTGCTAGCACTGCATTGAGATTGTTGGCAACTTTTTTTCAGTAGAAATACAGAGGGGTTGGGGAGTGGGAAAAGCACTCTAAGGCAGGTGTATCCTCTGTACTCTGAAAGTGTGTAGAGTTGCTGCTGAAGAACAGCTTTTCAGTTCACTTCGCACGCTCATACCTGCTCTGGCTCCCAGGGCTGAGCCCAGTTGTCTCGGGATCATCCAGAGGTCTGCATCCAGCTCTTGGTGGGTGAACAAAAGGTTGAGGTTTGAACTGGGCTCTCCTGCAGCTATTCTCATGCACACCCGCCCCCAGATCAATGAAGTCTAACTGGCTTGCTTCACTGTTCTTTTGCTCCTGCAGGGCCTGAAGAGGAGCGAGCAAAGCAGCATGCTGGACCTCTTCCGCCAGCGCCTCCCGGCTCCCCCCTCCGGAGTGGAGAACGCCGGCTCCCTTTCACTGAGCACTCCTACGCCCGAGCAGGAGTCCTCTCGGATACGGAAACTGGAGAAACTCATCAAAAAAAGACTCTAAGTGAGCAGAAGGAAACTCTGTTGCTCAGGACTAGCTGCTCTGACTGGGAGCAAAGCTCGTCAGACTTATGATTTACAGTATGCTGCTGAAAAATCGGCGTCCCATCACTCCCACGTCCTGTGATCTCTTAACCATCGTATACTGTGGCACTACATCTCCATTCAGACCAAGGGAGGATATGACCA